CCCTTCCCTGTTGGTGAGCACGAGGTCAAGCACAGCACCTCTCCTTGTTGGCTCCATTATTACTTGCAGGAGGAAGTTGTCTTCCACACAGTTGAGGAACCTCCTGGACACCTGACACTTTCTACCACTAAGCAATGAACATCATGTTATGAGTTACTAAAGATTACTTTAATTGCAGGAAGAAGATTCAGAACGTCTCAGTGCAGCTTTCGCTTCAATCGTGAACTTGATGAATCAAGCCTCAAAGGAATGTGAGGTGAGGTTTTACCCCGAGACCCATGCAAAGGGGAATGCTTATGCTGTGCCAGGCAGAGGCCTGTTTGTATTACTCCTGCTAAAACTGCAAAAATCAGATTTCAGTTTTGCTCACTGCGTGGCAGAGCTGAGCCAGTGAGCCTGTGACAATGATGAAATGTGGGGCATTTGCCATCATGGGGTAGGTGACATGGTAGGTTTCAGCAGGGCTATCCTGACTGACTGGTACCACCTTAGTTAATAAAACACCACCGTTGCCATTTTCCATAGTACCAGTATGCTGGTCGGTTGTAGCAGAGGGTTTCTCTACTTCCTGGTGGCAAGGCAATATGGTTAAAGAGACATCACAGGTTACATTGTGTCAGCCATTGCAGGGCAGTGTCACAGTGTACAAGATTGTTTCCAGTGCTGCCAGGGACCTCTGCACCTGTGCTGTGGAGTGGCATAACAACAGGGTAACCCTTTCATCACACCAGTGCAAACCATTCATGCTGGCTAATAGAGTCAGTGCATTCTGGGTGGCAGAAGTAAGCGAGAGTTTGAATCCTGAGCAAAGACATTGCTTCATGTCACACATTTGCTCTAAACTTAACTTTGTTGTTTAAGCAAACTCAGGCTGGGATGTTGCTATTGGATAATGAGCACAGGCTCCATTCTGAGCAGTGCTGTATCTTTGTAGTAAGTAGAAACTTACCACAGTAGCAACAAGAGAGGTATAGCATGCAGATGCACAGCTCCACTGCTTTCATGTTGGTTCTGCCTGCCAGATGTCATAACTCTTCTGGGCAGACGGATTGGGAGCCTGTCTCTGCCAGCTCATTGTTGTGAATGCAGCCCAGCTACTGCATTAAAGCCTCTGAAGACTCTATCATCATTGTCTATGCCCTTCGGGATCCGTTATCATAATGCAGCAGAGATCTCATTGTCTGCAGAGTTAATAACAGAGACTAAGCCTTCAATTAAATTAAACACAGAGACGATTAGCTCTTAAGCAACTCCTTTATAATTTTGAAGCGCTACATACACAGTAACCAGTTAATCCTAAAATAGTTGGGGAGAATAGTTTCACACAAAATGAAACAAAAATATAAGTGTATAGAGACTTATCCGATGCCCTTTTAGAAGTATGAGAGCTGAACAAGCAGTGGATGACTTGTATCTATGCATCAGCCAAGACAATATTGCTTCAGCCATCTTCTCTAAAGAAAAGCTATAAAGGGGGGAGGAGAAGGGAATTCTCAGATCCACAAGTTCATGAGTAAAGTTTACAAAGTGCAAATAAAAATCCACAGCTGAATATAACCATTTAAGCACTTACATGCAAACTATTAAATTTGTGATTTAAGATGAGTTGCTTAAGTTACTAAGGGACCAAAGTTTACCCACGCTTCTTACCAAAAGTTTGAATTCATTTCTTTGCCTGTGACATCATGTAAAAGAATCCAGCTCACTTTCTGTGATATAGAAATGCTCTGTGAAGGATTATGCAATAGGTCAGAGTATTGGTATGTTTTGGGACACAGCTCCACAGTAACAATACAACAATACAATAGCAATACAAGCAACCCCATCTGTTGATGTATGCATAACATCAAGGAGTGGATTTGGAAATAACAATTGCTATTTGCCTTATTTTTGTTAAATTTAGTATTGACAGAGACAATGAAAATATAAGTGAAATAAAATAGATATTTTGGAACTTTCTGGTCCCTGTGATCAAAACAGTATCCCTGTGAGGAGATTTCTGGTGACAACAGATGGCAGCAGAGCTGTACTTAGTGCTTACTTTGTGCTCACTTTCCTGTGCCTCATTCCAGTGATGCACTGGAATGGGTTGCCCAGGTGAGGTTGTGAATGCTCCATCCCTGGCGGTGTTCAAGGCCAGGCTGGACAGAGCCTTGGGTGACATGGTTTAGTGTGAGGTGTCCCTGCCCATGGCAGGAGGGTTGAACTTGATGATCTTAAGGTCCTTTCCAACCCTAACTATTCTACAATTCTATGATTTAATTTGCATTGGGTAAGATTCACGTACCTTTACTGTGGAGCCAGAAAAGGGCTGCTGTGGACTTAAATACAGCTCACAAAACCACTATGCTACTGGTATGGTATGCCTTGAAGATACTTTAGCTTTTTTACCAATGCATTGTTTCAGTATCAACTTGCTTTTCTTCTAGAGTACTGCTCCTGCATGTGCCCTGCAGAACCAGTCTTCAGTGACTAAGCACCCAAGCAAGGCACCTAGCTTTCATATACATAAGACCCATAAACTGTACCTTCTTCCACCAGAATTTTTCTTGAAGAGCCTGATCAGGCAGATGTTTTTGAACATTCCTTCTGATATTTATATTTTATTCAGTTCTGAGGTTTCAGATAGTCCCCATATGTTGTGTTGGGAGACAGGCATTCAGAATCAGAGCTGACAGTTTTGTACCAGAAGGCAGATGTCCTGCAGACATCCAGGCATTATTTTCATCCTCACACAAGGACAAACCATCCAATTAATACAGAAAGTCAGTAGCTGTGCAGTTCCATTTTCATTTGTAAATCTGCAGTAGTTGTGAGCATGGCTTTGATGCTTATCTACTTACTTTCTGTTTCTGTTGTTGTCCAGGAGTATTATAGCTCTATGGCAACCTGTACATGCAAAAAGCATGAAATCAAACACATCTGTAGATACCATGCCAGGCAAGCAGGGAAAAGAGAGCTGGAGTCCTCTGAAGAAAAGGTAAGTAGGTGTTTTGGGTTTTGATTAAAGGTTATTCCTTCCCTTGCCATGGGACAATTGTTGTCCATCTAATACATTTGACATTTGTTTACACTACTGTATGTGCTTTGACATTAGGGGCATATGAAACCTTGGACTGATCTGAAACTTCTGGTGGGGGAGGGGGGGAGGCAGAATAACCTTTGGTGGCATCAGTCACTGTCCTATCAGTCCTTTTGTGGAGAGGAAAATTTCACAGACATGAAGCATCCCCTCTCTCAGGGGTTGAATTTACCTTTTATGTTTTATCATTAGAAAACAGTACCTTTTTCTTTGCAGAGGGCTGAAGCCTCTGTACCACCCAGTCAAGCTCAAACTTGCCAGCAATGTGTAAGTTCATACAATACTTTGTTTTTCAATTGAGCTATAGCCCTTTTTTTATTAGTTTGCATCAAGCTGGTTAAAATTTGTGATCAGGTGAGGGAACTTTGCGATGGCACAGAATATTAACCAGTGGTGGACTCACAATCCTATAGATGGGCAGTAAAATGGGCATACAGAGACTCTCACAGTTAATTATAAACCAGCTTGTGGCATTCTGGCATGTAACCAGTTAAGACTCTTACTTTACACCTTGGACTGGTACAGAACATCAAACACCATGATTAATCTTTAGGCTGTTGTGAATTGCATCAGCAGAAATAACCCAGCAGTTCTCCAGTCTCACTTCATTTGTGCTCCTGACACATTCCCCGTGCTGAGGAAAGGCACACAGCAGGGCACACAGTGATTGCTTAGCTGGTTATGGCTGGCCCTCGTACAGTCCTTCTGAAGACTCCTGTTCCTCAAGGAGAGGAAAACTTTATTTTTCAAAGCCTAACACCCCACCAAATCAATTTCAGGAACTTGTAAGCCACAAAAGATGAGAAACATGGAGTCCGTACCACTGTACACATTAGTGGGAGCACCCATGTAGGGATTATGTTCCAGGTTTATGTACAAAACCATTTAGGTTGGCAACTGTCAGTTTTGCGGGCAGAGATTACAACAAGTTGCTTATTTCTACTGACTGAAACATTAGATGAAATACTTTGAGCACAGTACTTGTCAATTTCTGTATTGACAAAAAAAATTTACAGTTCTGTCCATGCTGCCTGTATATTCTGAAAAATCTTAGTATATTTACATAGCAGCTGAAATGTAATTTTTTTTTACCCAAAATAAAAATGTGTATTTTTGTAAGAAATCTTAGATGACTAAACAGTAATGAAACTTATTTCCTCCCTGTCTCCAAAGGCCAGACAAGGTTCTGAAGACATCTACATTGAAGTTTCTCCTGGCTTCTATTCTGTCACAGCAACCTCAGAAGACATGGTGCAACAAACCCACATGGTAGATGTCCATGCAGGGCAAAGTATCGATTTAACTTTTGTTCTATGACATTTGTTGTTTCTTGGCAATCTCAGGAATAAAATATGAGGCTGTTTTAATGCATGTAATGAACTATGAATATATTTTTCTTGTTAGCACTTTAATAGTATCCTTGTCTTTGCGACTCCATTTTTATGACCCATGTATTTGTTTTCTACTTAATGCAATCATATGCAGCCCACTTTGTACACTGATTTTATAGATATTTGTACATTGTGTGCCTTAAATCTAATTATGTGACTTGTCATTCTAGGTTCTTATGTTTTAAACAATTAAAGATACAATCAGTGGAATAAAATACATTATTTAGTCTTTATGGTGACAGCTTCTTTAATATTACCCTCAGGCAGAATGTCTGTCATATTTCTGACCACAGAAAGGGTAATCCATGTGGTATGAACATGGATGTGCATCAGCTTCTTTGGGCTGGTGCTGATTTTAGAGCAGCTGGCTCACAATGCATCTCTCCTATCTGTAACTTTATTATTCTGATAAAGAAATAGAATGCAAATGAGATTCACTATCTAGGACCCCCCCAACTCAGAAAGGTGCTTGAGTATGCATCAGGTGTGCAGTATAGGTAATGCTGAGCCACTGCATGCTGCAGCTTATGGCCAAGTTCATACACTTTGAACATGAGGAGTCTCATACTAACAAGATTCCCTGGATGCTTAACTCTTCTGAAGGATCAGATTTCACAATCAGAATTAGTGACACAATCTATATATATATCTGTAATCTTTTTGTAGATAATGGTATTCAGATTTCAATTAATTTTCATGGGAATATAAAATTCACCGACTTGAATGCTAGATCTCTAAGCATTTTGTTGTTTGTATCTACAGTTGCAGGTCCTTTACCCTCTGGCTACTTTCTTTTGTGCTTTAATATTGAAAAAAATATTTTCAGCTGTCAGCTTGTATTGTTTCTTCATTTCTTCTGGCTTTCTACAAGAAGAAATCGCTATGCTGAATTCCTCTGGCTGACTCCAGAGAACTGTAGACAAATCGGAGGTTTATTAGACCCTTGCTGTGCATCTGTTCTGGGTCTCAGTGCTCACACTGCTTTACCTGATCTCTCCAGAATTGTAAAGTCAAGTCCAAATAATTAGGAATTTCATTCAGTACCTTGGAGTAAAGAATGAGGATGCTGAAATTACAGTATTACACACATACAGTGTGTGTAGATACAGACTTTCTCAGATATTAAGATTTTACAGTTATTCATAGTCTACAGACACAGTACCCAAATCAGAACTTGATTTGGTTAATAAATGCTACACTGATATAGTATAAGCAGTTTACCTGAAATTTCAACTTCTGAGCTTCATCAGTTGTACTTTCATTGAATTCTGGCTGATCGTGTCTCTCTGTTCTGTTGCAAGTGAGCTCTTTACTGATTTTTCTGTCTGTTCTCTTCTGACATGGTCTGTATTGTCAAGTTTGTCATCTTGTATGTAAGTTGCTTTATGTTTATCATCCAATTCTATTTTCTTCCTTGCTGTTTTACATCTTTGTTTTTCTGATGCCTCAAAACCTTCTTCCTGGAAGACAGAATACAAATTCCTTGGAAGTCTAGTCTAAAAAAGAAAAAGCATCAGTGTCTTTGTAACTGCTGCTGTAAGACAGGTACCTCTGCCTCATGCAGCTTTAATAATGCTGTCATTTCTGTGCTAGTACAGACTACTGCTGAAACGCAGAAGAGACCAAAGGATTTTCAGAAGGTGCTAGGCTTTGATCAAAAACTGCTCCTTTAGAAGTTAGGAGGACTTCTGGTGACTAGAGCAGGAGGACAGTAACCCCACAGAGAACATCTCTGGGAAGCCTGCTGTCTAGCTTCACTTCTTTCTGTGAGCTACTTCTGATACAGTCTGTATTATACGTTAAAACTGCTTCAGCTGTCTCAAAGAGTAGCAATGTGTCTTCTGGGTTTAAAAACACCAAGGGCTATTTTACAGGAATAAAAGTGTGTCATACTCTGTATTGCCACATTGAGCCCACTACTGTGATTCATGACGCCTACCTGTGGCTAGAATAAAACCACTCCAGTTTCTTTCAGTTTTACCAAGAGGCAAAGCATGTCACTTTCATGCACTGGAGCTCAATACTGGCCTAAAAATTGTTAGGAAATCAATTGCAAAGGTGTGGAACTATGATCATTGAAATAGTAAAGTAGAACCATACAGTTAATAAGTCCATAGGCAACTGCTTAAAATTAATACATACAAGATATATTCCAGTACATTCTCTGCTCACACATCATTAACACATTAATCTAAAGAAAATCATGCAAGTTTAGCATGTTTTGTTCTGCAGTAAGCTCACAGTAGCAAGCATGAAGCTACAGAGAAGCTAATATTTGAATTTTTTAATATATAATTTATTAATGGTACTCCTGTTGCTCTTGTGCAGAGAGGTGTTTCTGTACATCCTACACTTCTCTTTTGTCTTCTTCTGCCTGCAAGCATTTTTCTTCCCCTTTTCTGTGCTTGCTTTCTTTGGCATTCATATTCTGGTTTGGGTTGGTTTTCCCCAATTTTCTAAAGCAGGAGGGGACCATGGCCAACAGCAACCAGGCCTAAAGACCTGGTGGTTGTCTTTGTTCCTGGCTGTTACATAGTTTGCTTTCTCTGCAGTCCCTAGCTTCATGGGAGGGATCTGCTGTTTAAACTGCTTGCTTCTTGTGAGGCAGTAAGAGAAGATATTCAATAAAGGCTGCTTACTAAAAAAAAAAACAACAAACTGGTTTTATCTTTCAGAGATTGATATTGTGACTGGCAGAGTCTAACTGGCAGAGCCCGGTACCTTTCCACATTGAATCTTTTCTTGTGTTTTATTGCTGCTGACACTCATATCTGTCCATTCCCAAGGCCACTCATGTAGGCCCCTACTTCCACAGGACTCCATTGGGATAATGTCAATGGGCATTTGGCAGGTTTCTGAATTGAAATTTGCATTACTGAATGCTCACACAGATACCAACATAATCTTTTGCATTTTACCAAGTAGGCTTCAGCCCTTCCTTAGGGTTTTGGGACCTTCCTTTTGTTTCTATTAGTGGAGAAGTGTCCTGCTTATCACAAAACTGGTAGATGGCCTTAAGCAGTTAAAAACCAACTTTCAGACCATTAACAAGAATATTTCTTCCATTCAAGCAAACCATGTGTGTACATAAATCCAGTATTAATACATATTACCTTACCCCCATTGACAGCTTGAAGTCTTGGTCTCTTAAGATTTCTTTCATTGTGACTTCTGGGAGACAGCTCGATGGTTTCAAACATTGCACTATGATTAGTAGAGGCAACACTGAACGTGTCCCTAGTAGAGATGTCTTTGGGTTCCAGCTTGCTCTCTGCACATGTACTGCTGCAATTGACAAGTCCTGGGAAGGAATAAAATTGTATCTGAGAATGAAACCAGAACTGAAATAGAGAAACATTAATTTCAAAAGAGAGGGAAATGCACTTTAAGCTTAAACGGAATTATTTCAGGTTATTCTGCATAGACTAGCAAAGGGTAATGAAGATGTCAGGATCATACAAAGCGTAGGGAAATGATGGGGAACAAACTGAGAGAGGGATATCTATGCTTCTGTCGTGGTTTAAGCTCAGCCATAAATCACACAGTCGCTTTCTCAATCCCCACCTTTTCTTCCCCCAGCTCCCCGAGGGATGGGAAGGAGAACTGAAAGAATGTAACTCCCACAGGCTGAGATAAGAACAGTCCAGTAACTAAGGTATAACACAAACCACTGCTGCTACCACCAGTAATAATAATAATGATAAAGGAAATAATAAGTGAAGAGAATATAACACCTTACCACCCGCCGACTGATAATACCCAGCCCAACCCCAGCAGTCATCTAGCCCCTAGCTCTACATCCTGGGCATGACATGCTGTGGCATGGAATACCTCTTTGGCTAGTTTGGGTCAGGTGTCCTGTATCTGCTTCCTCCCAGCTTCCCCTCCTCCCTGGCAGAGCATGAGGCTCAGAAAGTCCTTGGTCAGAGTAAACATTACTGAGCAGTAACTAAAACCATGGGTGTAATCAGCACTGTTCCCAGGCCGAAAATTAAAAAACACAGTGCTGCACCAGCTACTAAGAAGGAGAAAAAGGGATTGCTACTGCTGAACCCAGGCCAGCTTCTAATTGAAATTCATGTTCTAGCACTTTTCCATTGAATTGTATGCTAAAAGAAGAGCTGGCATGCAAGATGAGGCAACAGAAATATTGAGGAGGGGGAATTATTGTGTTAGAGACCGCTAAATTTACAGCATTTATACCAGTAAGCTAAAGGCTAAGTAACTGCTCAGAAGACCAGAACACATTTTGGGTTTTTTTCCTGACTGCTGCTTGCCTGTGAGGGCGTCAAAAAGTACCTGAGTTACTGGGATGGGACTTGTGGTGGCTTCTTTTCCAGTATTTCCACTCGGGTCTTGCAGAATCCTTTAGCCTGGGCTTCTCAAGACAGCCGGAGCCTGTGTTAACAGCACTGTCCACCACGGTATTCTGAGTGGTGAATGGCTCCAGGTCCCACTCTGAATCAGAAGAGGCAGAAGATGGTGCCACAGCTGCTGCTGCTGCTTCTGATTTGGGGCTTTTTGGTTCTAGAAGGCATGGAGGGGGCTGACTGCTGGACTCTACCTCTTCCGTTTCACTTTGAAATACCAGATGCCTGGATGGAAGAGGCCACCAGGCACTGACATGGGGATGACAGCAGCAGATGCTTACATATGCTGACAAACAGCTTATACAATCACAGTGGAAGTGGAAACTCGGCCAGCAGGGTGAGCAGAGCAAGCACTGGTTGGCAGGGCTATGTACAGCACAAATGGGAATCAGGACTGTTTTAGGACTGTAGGAACAAATACAACAGTTAGTGTCTGGAATTTCTCTGGGCTTCACCCTGCTGGTTAAGGGCATATGGATCATCTCCACAATCCTTTCCCACAGGCTAGGAGGGATCCAGAGAGCCACACCTGGCGGGAGCTTGACTTTCTTGTCATTCCAGAAGTGGACCATAACTCCTTCATCTTCTGAGGCTGTTGAGAGAAAAGATAAGCAGTCATAAGTGGGCAGCCTGCCTGGGTACTGCCCATACACAGATCAGGCTTTGCAGCTTTATGCACTTTCTACTCCTGTCAAGCGGTAGGATCAACTACCTCTCTGTAACACTTCACCATAAAGTCATGGTAGCAGGCAGCTGCGCCACTGGTGGTTGCAACAGCAAGCCTGGCAGTATCTTTCCTTCCAATTTGCCATCAGATGAACAAGAAAATGTTGACTGAGTAACTTTTGTTGTTACTGCCAAAGTTAGCAGTAATGCTCCAAGAATAGTATTTTGGTAAGTCAGTGGAGCTTGACTCCTAGACATGTGAAAAATCAATGAGCTGTTAAAATCTCCTACATTTGGGTGATAAAATCACCCCAGATGTACCATTCAGTACAAATGTGAGCATTCAAGCACATAGGTGTTTCCTGGGAGCTGTCTCACTTGTAACCTTCAAGGAAAGGTCACTGACCGCATGGCAGACACAGTTGTCTAAGCAGACAGGAAATAGCACACACAATGAAGATGACATTTTTATGGGTCACATATGGGTCACAACTTCCTTAGGGTCAGACTGGTGAGGTTACACAGATATCCATCAGCAAGTCCCATTAGCTCCTGCAAACTCTAAGTAAAACTAGACTGCAGTCTGTGCGCTGATTTGTCTCTGGCAGTAGCACAGTGACAATAGTTTATCCTGACAGCCTCATTTATGTTCCAGAGCAAGACAAGGAAGAAAAGGGAAGCACCTTTCTTACCTTGCAAGGGGTCCCTTGTCTCAATGCCTGTGAGGACAGTTCCAGGGCCATACCTGGCCATAGTTGGCTCCCAGGGTGCCAGCACTTTGTCTCCAGGGAGTAAGGAGTGCTTCATCCTGTTCACGTATTCTAGGATGTCATCCTTTGCTGTTTTTTGTACACACACTGGATGCCTTCCATGTGACACAAGTGGTTTGGCAAACTCTACCAGGAACATGCCTCTTTCATTCTGTTACCAGGAACAAAATAATAGCTTCTCTGAAGAGCAGTCCATAATGTGTCAGGTCATGTAACCTTCACCAGGAGGACATTTGGTGGCTACATGGCTAGGTCAAAACAAGTCCAAACAGTAACCAAATAGTGTGAGGTTAGTCCAGCACTGAGACAGTCAGAAAACCCCTGTGAGGATCACCAGAAAGCAGGCTGTATTTTCTTCCCCAAGAGAAAAAGCTATAGGTAGAGTGCAACTGGATTTCACAAACCATGCTGTCTGCTCCAGGTAACAAGGGACAGTGAAGCCGTTCATACCTGCTCTTCAGTCACGCCTTTCCTCATTACGTACAACACTAACTCTGCTTCTTGGGGGGTGGCTGGGAATTTTAATTTTCTTTTAAATTAAGGCCTGTCAAGAGGCTTTCCATCAACAACGAAACAACGCACTTCCCTGTTCTGAGGAAGAATAGGCTCTTTTTTCGGTTCAAGTTTGAAGTGCTAACAAACTAATGAATTAAAGCTTTCACTAACATTTCTGAAAAGACACCAAGCCATTGGTCTGTAGCCGACTCAAGCTGCAACTGTGTACATAAAACACTAATGCTTTTCCTGTGCTATTGATGGTTATGTGTCTACACACAACAGTGGGTGGTACACTGCTCACAACAGCCCTCACACTGAGCTTGGCAGGGGGCCTGCTCTTGCAAGGTGCACACCACTGCTCTTGCCAGGAGCTAGGATTTTAGGGGGCACTCATCTTCTGTGCAAGATAAGGATCCCCAAAACACACCTGCTTACTCCTAAAAATGGTCTCAGTAAAAGAGGCTGAGAAGAGCAAGGTCCTGATCACTATCAGTTTATTGGTGCCTGAGGCTATGCTGCATGCAAGAGCCTCACCCAGCATGCCAGGCAGCAGGAGGTGAAGACTTTTGGGAATTAGGCACATTGGAAGCTTTATGAATAAGCACAACCATGAGCATCAGCTGTTCTGGTGACCTGTTCCCTAATTCACGCACCAGCTGAAATCAATACCAATACACAAAACTCAAGTGGTACGTGAGGACTGCTGGACTGGATACCCTATTACACATACCCACGACTACCACACAGCAACCATCACTCACCTCTACCTCCTCTTTTACTGTACCACGGTAGTAAAATCCATCTTGTTCCCGTCTTACCAACACAGGGACATTGCTGTCTAAACCCACTGATCTCCCTGATGCACTCAGCCTCTTCCATGCTGGGTCAGGGGAAGGGGGGCAGTGGGTAATCCATTGGCACCTTGAGGAAAAGAAAATGGGTCAGCACTGGGAAAAACAGCTTTTTTTAGGGAAAAAAGGAAAATCTTGTAAGATTTAAGAACTGTATCACTCCACCTCCTTCTGTAGCACTCCCACAGGCCAAAGCATGTGGGAAGAAACAGAAAACTTGTTTGTTCTGGGACAATTCCTTCTCTTGGGAAAAAAACCAATCAGTGCTTGTTTTCACCCAGATTTCTTTGGTTTGGGGTTTAGAGGAAGTAAGCTGGGATCCTGGGCCAGCACTACCTGCACTAGCGAATTTGCTCTTTACATGGCAGCCAATGCAACCCCTAAGATTAGGAGAAAGGAGCCATCTCCAGCACAGAGCACAGAGTAGATGCACTCGAGAGCACAGCAACTGATGGTTTACACTGGGGCATTTGGGGAACAACAGAAAAGTAGAAAAGTAAACAACGAAGCTTCTAGTCGATGACAGGTTTAAGTCCAGAACAGGAAAACTAATCCCCTGTCACAAAGCATTAGAAACATTTCACAAAAGACGGCTGCTAATACAAGATGATTCTATTTATCCAAATAATATTAAAGAAATGTTTCTTTGACAAGAGGTTTTCTCAGGCTTTGCTTTTCCTAATCTCCAGGGCAGCAAATCACTGCAGTTAATAACATCTAAACCACTGCCAGTGCAGGGGAGGGGAAAGCTCAAGTGACATTCAAGTTGCTAATTTATTCATCTGACACACCAGCCTGTTTTATACTATTAGATATCATGAAAAAGGACAAACCACAGATTCCAACAAGAACTTTATTTTACCTCTGGGGAGTGAAGGGATCGGTGATCCAGGCCGGATGCACTACAGAAGAGCTCCTGCAGCAGGGGCTGACAGTAGGCATGACTCTGGAGCACGAGAACCTGTCCAGAACTGGCATCGCACTGCAATACCTGTGACCTGTAGGCAGGAACGCTTCCAAAGCAGCCATTCTTGCAAAAGCAGCTGGCTGCAGGACTCAGTCCTGACCTGTTGGTGATAAAGAGACAACCATAGTATCATAGAATAGTTAGGGTTGCACTGTCATTTTACAAACACAAGCAGATGCTTTCTGGTGTACCTCAAGAGCCCAGTAGCTTTTAGTAATGAATTATTTTAAAATAAAAATAAGCAATTCAAAATACCCAGACTGGCATTTGGCCAGATGAACTCATATTACTGACTTCAGGGATCTCCAAGCACCCAAATCCTAACCTGGTAGAGGGACACAAACACCCAAGAAAACTAAAAATGCTGTGAAACCCTCCGGAAAGCAATAGCCTTTAGCCCCCTCTTACTTTTGTTTCTGTCTTTAACATCCAGGTCTCCTATACCTACACTCTCCTTTAAAGCTTTCTTCTACACAGTCCCAGTCAAACCTTCCCTATTTTACAAGCTGAGGCAGAATCTACAGCTGAAGCTGACAAGCTGAGTGAACACAACAGGTTTTGAACATGATGTTAGATTACAGTTGCCTGTTATTTGTTTTATTTATAGTGATGTATTAACAGGAAATGTTTTGGTATTTCAGCAGTCCTGTCACATTTTATAACAGTAGGATTATGGCCTGCCATGAGAAAGAATGGGATGCTCAGATTTGACAAGTGATAACTATTCAGAGGCTGTCACGGTACGACTGATGATGTGATGGTATCTCTGGTAATCTGACAAGATGTAGGAGATAGACAAGCTTCCATATTTTCTTTTTTAGATACCTTAGAAGTGTTTTGCAGGCTTAGGGTAAAACTTGTGTGGAAAATACACAACATTAAGTGCCTAATTTACTTTACAAAATACAGTTTAAGCACTCTATTACCTTTAAATATTATTCTGCCTCTTAGACAAGAGATGATCTGCGAGTCCTTTGTATGAGGACTCCCAGATACACACAATTTCATAAAACTAGTGCACCCAACCCAGCAAGAAGAGTGGATTAACTGCTACAAAATGCATTTTTAAGTCAGCAAAGAACACAATATATTCACTCATTTCACAAGTACACAAACTCCCCCCATTATAAACCAAAATGGAACCAGTAATACTGTGCAAAGAAATGCAAGTATCCATTCTAAAGCACATTTTAAATACCTTCAGGACTGTTACTGCTGAGAGCAGGTCCCCTATTTCTGTATAAAATAGGCCACTGACAAAGGCTATTTTGCAACACTTCATATGAGGGTTTTTTTTCCCCTGGATAATTACAAGTACTTTAACACAGCGGTGTTTCAAACTTACCGGCTATTGATAACACTAAGTCTGGTTGATTTGGATTTAGTCCCAGTGCAAAAATCTTGCCTTTTGCCAGTTGTATGCAGGGAGCAGTTTGCTGCCTGTGTTTCCTAGTTGCTATGGAGGTTGCCACAGTTGTAACTACGGGGATCGAAGATCTTGACCTTACCCATTACAAACCGATGGAACACGACTGCAGTTGTCTGCACCATTTTCAACTTCCCATTGATCTAGATATTGCACCAAAAGACCGCTGGGGCAGGGAAGGGATTATAATAGGGCGCAATGTCCTCCAGGCTTTCTGCCAACTACTGCAGGGCAAATAACAGCACCACACGAAGCTATAGCTCAGATTTAGGAAAAAGCAGCCTACCACCATGGGTTTGACTTATTAAGTTGGTTTGAAATGCAGACAGAAAGGTTAAAGCTGAGACAAACCGAGGTCAGACTGCTTGACAAACTTTTCCTTTTTGCAATAAGGGGGAAGGATTAATGCATTCTATACTTCCTACAAAGTGCATATCAAAACCATACCAGAATACAATGCAGAAATCTGCCTGTTAATGTCTGCTGTGATCCCTAATCTTCATTTTCCCTTAATAAATGTTAAGTTTTTGTATGGTGGTTTTCTTGGGTTGTTTTTTTCTTTTGGGGGAAAGGGAGGGAAGAAATACTTGATTTCATTTTGCTATAAAAACAAGATAACAGAGGGGGTGACTGCAATTAGGGACAAGGATACAGCACTTAGGAAGCCTGTAACCATTTTCTCTACATTCTGCTGCAGCCACAGACTTGCTCTCATGCTGTCAGCAGAGGATCAATAGCAGAATACCCTTACATACAGCAAATATTAAGAACATTCTGCCAGTTAAGAGCTAAACTCTCTTCCCACAAATCTATTCCATACCATTTAGCTGAAACCATCAGTAGTACAGGGAAACAGACTGGCTGGTCAGGGAAGACCACCCCAGACCTCAACCATTATCAGTAAAAGTCCACAAAATTTTCTGTTGCAGGATTATTCCCACACACACACCCTGTGCCCAAGGCAATTCTCCCTTGCCAACTATCCTTATACTGTGTATTGTATGAGTAGTCCTAGTAATCCTTAACAGCACTAAGAGCTGAAGAAATATCCAATTTTTAATAGAAACAAGGCTACAGAACAGTTCATAATGGAATTAAAGCATTCATTAATAAGAACAACACTTGCACGACATTAATTATGCTCTATGTTCAGTAACATGCTTCATAAAGCTGCTACCCTCTTTATTTCCCCCCTTTTAAACTAAGTTATCCTTTCTGCTGGCACCTAACAACATCCCTAGGAAGCTTTAAAAAGACCTTTTAAGAGAAACACTGGCAATTAGGCCAAAAAGTTTTTAAGAAAGTACCTGTGAGAGTAAACCAGTCACATTACAGAAAACAAGAGGAATCTCAGTCCCATCAGCAGACAGATTTTATTTTCAAGTGTGCAGGTTGTGATGAGATGACACACACAGTCACTCCACATGTACAGGTTATTACATGCTTGGTTTGGTGACAACTTTATAAATGCTTTGTGATTTCCATAAATTAACTAACTTAGGCCATTCACATCAGACTTCTTCAGCTGTCTTTTTCATATCTAAATGTAGTTACTTTCTTCATAAGTAAAATTCTTTTGTGCAGGCCTATACTGACTCGCACTATGATCTACTTCTAAGATGCACCAGGAACATGCACATCATTAATAATACAGTAGGTTCCCAGACAGGATACCTTTTGCTTGGTTTGGAATGGTTCAGATAGTCTTTGAAATCTGGTTTTGTTTGTTAATTGCTACAGGTGCTTGGCTCCATGACACTTTTTTCTGCCACCACAGAATCACTGTACAGAACGGACTGCAGATAGCTAATGTATTTTATAGCAGCACGGAGTGTCTCTACTTTGCTGAGGCGTTTCTCCAAGTATTCCTTGGGTAGGTGATGCCTCAGTTTAGCATAGCCTTCATTGACACATTTAACCCTCTGCCTTTCCCTCTCATTCCTCTTTCTGATGAATGCTGTCCCATAGGAGTACTCACTTCTGCGGTAATTGGAATGGGGCATTTGGTAGGGAAAGGCATAGGGCTCACTGTAGAAATTCTCCATGATGAGATGCTCAGACATGAAAGGAAGGAATGGCAAATCTTCAGAGCAAGTGACCTGGCTTGGTGTTTCTGGGCACATGTGAAATGTGAGCACTGGGTCAGCACAAAAAGACCTAGCCAGCTGTACGTGCTGAGTCTCAGAACAGATGGACAGCTTGTCCATGATGTTACAGTAGCTTCTGCCATCCGTCAGGTTCTGCATTTAACCTGGAAATGCATAATTACATAACAGTTTAAACAACACATACCGAGCAGTAGGGAAAACCTCACCTGGACGTACCAACATTTGGCATTACTGGCATTTTCCAGTAGAGACTTTTAATGCATTTGTGACACTTCAGAGTGGTATTGGAAGACTTACATAGAGCAGACAATGTCTCATTTAAAAACACAAGAAAATGCAAGTAATTATTTTAATCACTGATTAAAATAATTCACAATAGATTTAAAGAAAAAGCCACCAACGCTTCCTAAAGGAAACAGCAAACACTCCCACTTCAGCTACAGAAATAAAGAGAATCTACTTCTATGTACTCCACATGGGTTTAGCGTCTCAAAATCTACCAAAACTTTCATCTCTACAGACAATAAACAAAGCAGGCCAATATCTGAGGCATTCTCTCAAGCCCCTTCTCCTTGAAGAAAATTACATTTCCAGTGACAGACTCCCTATCCATACCAAAAAGTCTTCAAAAAGAATTATTTTTTCTCTCTATAGATAGAAAACCTGTGCAGAGAATGGATCTCAGTCTTAATTCTATGTTTGTCAGGTATTACATCCATTCCACAAAGAAGCTTACAAAAAGTTTAGAAGACGAATTTCTGCTAAACCTAACATCCCCTTAGGTCCTTATGCTCCTTCTGTGCTCACCTGCAGATTAAACAGATAGGAAATGCCAAATACAATCCCACTGATAAAGGATTATGAAATAATTTATTAAAAGAAAAAATGCATGTCCTAATATTTCCAGTTATAAAGTCATTTAGGCACCATTAGAAACCTGTAACTCAGACTAGCCTACTAAAACCATGTACCCTCTCTTTAGAGCAGCATTACAGCAAGTGTAACTACTCAAATCACCCTGATGTATTTATCAGAAATATAAACTTGCAGTCTTACAGGAAGCTACATTATAGTGCCTTCCCAATATCGTTATTCCAACAGCTAACTATCAGCATAACTAATGATTGCTACTTGATAGCTACCTAAAAATACATTTTTAATACCTAGCTGACTTTTAAAGAATTTCTGTGATCCATCCTCACATACTACAAGCAACACTTGCCTACATAGCATCTATCAAAAAATGCTCTTACCACCCATTTCCACATCTACACATTGCTGTCTAAAACACTTAGGTTATGCTACACCCTTAAAATGGAAACACACATGAACATTTAACTAGGTTACTAGAAGCTACACTCCATTCTCACAAAAACCTTGCAAAGCTTCAAATGTTCCAACTGTAGATCCACAACATAAATGGGATTCCCTTAATCCTTCACAGGATATGGGGATATTTTAACATTTTCTAATGACTTCATACCAACCATGTCTAAAACAAAGGGAATTTTTACTCAGTATGGACCTACCCTCACAACACATTCTATCAAAATGCCTCTGTATTCAGCTTTGCCTCTTTTTCTAATATACATAGATCTCACAACAAATTCTATGAGTTCAGAATTCATTTATAGTATGCAATTAGGCAAAAGACAAAGTCACATGCCTTATCTTAAACAGGTACATCTGTAGGTAGGCACAAACAAGCACACATTTTAAATTAATACACATGCAGAAAATCAGAGGTGAATATATACTCATTATAAAATAAAAATACTAGACAGTCATCTTTCCATTTTCTAATTATACAGGTCGGGTTATTGTCTAAAAACTTTCTACTCCTAACAACTCAAAAACAGTCTGAGGAAAAGGGCCTGTTACATAGCAACAAAACCCCCAACTTTATAGCAAAATATCATATAGAACAAGAAACCAAAGCCAACATTTGGTAATCTCAACATCTCAAAAAGAGATACTTGCAGTATTTGTTGTTTAGTACTGACACTTCTGCTGCGTAACAATATTAAACAGTTATTTGCTGCCTTATTACCTGCAAGAAGTCTTAGGATCATTTACCTTCTAGACTAGAGACTCACCAATCTTCAGATGAAAGTAAAATCCAAGGAAACAAGACGTGCTATTTTAAGACTGATGAATAATACCTGAAAATATCTGAACAACATTCAAAAGAGAAGTTAATATCCCATTTTCTTACACCTTATTTAATAAGAGATCACACTGAACATGATTCATTAAAAAACTAAAGCAGCACTCTTACTGAATAGCTAGTAGAAGTGATTTACAAAAACATTGATATTCAATGAAGATCTGTTGCTAGATACAGCAATACACAAGTCTCTTACCTGGATTATGTAGCTAGAGTCAATAACTGCTGCAATTTATAGTCAATTGACAACATGCAAAGTAGCTTACAGTTAGATCTGCTCATTTCTGGTTTGGCTTTTCCAACCACACCACAGCTATGATGGCAACAAAACTTGGCAACAAGGCCTAAAAATTCTAAAACTGTATTGAACGCAACCAGATTACAGGAATGTACTTTGTTTACTTCCTGTATGTATTCTGTTACAGTGAACTAAAGCAGTGCTTTAATTTATTAGCATTTCATACTTTGACGTCTGAATATAAACAGTCGGTTTGAATTTAAGTATTTACATCAAGGCATAAGTAAACTAATTTTCATAGCTTCGTTTCAAACACAGAAAATCAGCATTGATTTAGAAGAAACTTGTAATGGGTTTGCTTCCAGGTTAGAAGTGAGAACACATATTAGTTAGCTTAATAGCTTCAAATTTAATCTTCATTATACCTATAATTTTGGGAAATTCCATTAGTGTTAAGTATAACACCATATAAAAAGTCCCCAATAAAGAATTTATGGAGGTTCTCAAGACAAGATTTGAAAACAGTGAGAAATCAGCACCAAAACAAATGTTTTGAAGTTTTGCTTAAACATTATGGAGCAATCTATCCGGACAATCAAAGACAGGCATAGGTATATAGATGCAACATGTACCAGTATAGAGCTGTCCAACTGTACAGGTGCAAGGAAGTAGGACACCCCACTTCAGAACTCCCACATTTTACAGGATTACCTGACACTTTACACTATTTCATTATTTGACCCTTCTGTCACTCATACTAAAACCACACACACAAAAAACCAAACCAAACCAGCTTAGCTTAAACACTTGATCTACTACCAAGAGAGCTACATATACCCAGTCTTGTCTTCTTGGGACTGTCAGCCATCAAAGAAAGTATTCTGATTCAGCTGCCCTTGTGTGGGCCCACAGCAAGGCCGCATTCTGCATTCTCCTTTCCATGCCAGCTTCAGACCTCATCAGAAAGGCAGCCACAAGGTAGAACATTTACTAGAACTGCTAGAGGCATGTATTAAATACACAAGTTACATTATTTTTCTTTAGGGGACCCTAGGTACATCACCATCAGAATAGATTATTAACTTACCAGTGTGGGATGTTGAACCCAAGCTTGGATTTAATCCCCACGATTAACTCAGTTTTTGGATGACTACAGGACTGACAAAAGAATAAAGCTCTGTATCTGCAAGGAGCTTCAGTCAATGCAAATGTTACCATGGGGAAACTGTGTTTTCACTCCAAATGTGGGAGACCATGTGTACAGGTATAGCTGGTGCAGTTCACTTCCCATGCTATTCTGTCCCACAAGCTATGGACTAAGCAAACCAAAACCGCACCTAACATACAGTTCTTTCCCTTCCGCACCGGAGCTGACAAATGCACAAGACAATAAAGTAACTCCATATGTAGAGCTAAATTTGAGTAAGGGATTAAAAACCTTTTTCAATTAGCAATTTGGTGAGCCCATCCTTCCTTTGCCTAAGCACTGACCAAGTGGTATTTCTACTCTGATGCGTTTTCAGAGAAGTGCTTTTATAGATGGATTTTACATGCAGGTTAATGAGGGAGAAAAAAAGATGACATACAGATAGTGTACATCCAGTTTTCAAAAATCAGTTTTATCTTTAATTGTTACATTCCAAAGGGGATATATGAAAGTCATCTAGCAACCGTATACCTCTTGAGAGGTAAGTACAGAATCATAGATACAAAAAATACACCTAACTCCCAAGATGACAGGTGCTAGAGAAAGTATGTGCCTTACATCATCAATCCAGACAAATGCAGGAAGATTTTTATAATAAATACTTCATCATATACTAACTCCTGAGACTTTACCCATCTAAAGGAAAAGATCTTTTTCTTTTTTAAAGAGATATACACATACAATATATTAAGCTATTAAAGCAAAATAGAACAAAATGCCAACACTGTCTTTATATGCACTGCATTTGAGTTTATCTACATCACAGTACATTAAGTATGCAGCTTGAAGACTCAGTGTCCCTTTAACTTTCACCTTAAATCTGCAAACATCACTTGACATACAAGCATCTTGAAAGTACGAGTGCAAGGAACCAAATGATGAATACAGCCAATTAGGATTTCATCCTCTGATATGAAAAGATTCTACACGGCAAGATTCAGATTTCCCGTACCTAGCATAAGTCAGCAGAAAATCCAAGTGTATTTACAAAAGGTCTTTACGTAAAGTGGTTAGTGATTTGCAAGTAATGACTGTGTTCCCAGGTACTTTTTAACCACATAAATAGTAGAGAGAAATATACAGTTAAAAACACCATAAATCACAACTGTAAATAAGATACCACAGTGGCAACCCAAGATATCTCAAGGTTTATTTTCTTTTCAGTTTTGTTAGTAAAAGCCATTTAAAATGTAAAGATCTTAGCTTTTGGTTAATCTTTTAAAATTGCTTCCACTCCAGTACATTCCTTCAAAGTTCAAATACTTTTTTTTTAATCAATAATGAACCATTCAAGAAAACCCTTCTGAATTGGCAGGATCAGGAAGACATGAGTCAGCTCTTTCAATCAGTTCACTTTACTTCCCTGGAGTTATTTTAGTGAGACACAATTAACTCAGCACAACATGACGGTCAAAGACGGATTTGCGTTGCTCTTGGACCTGTAGCTTCCAACGCTGCTGAGCATACTCCACTTTGTTCAACACATTGGCGCGGCTTCGAGAACGAGCCAGCACATCGTGTGCATTTGCAAAAGGCTGGTGATCCTGGAATGCAAAAATCATTAGTTTAGATCTCAACCATTCCACTGAGCAATTACATTAGTCGTCTTTGTAGTTACATTCAAAAGGAGGTGGGGGTTGTTTTGGTTTGTTTTTTTAAGTAAACAAGGTGTTTCAACAAGCTGCCAGTAATAATGACCCAGCAAGTTCTTGAATAGTTAGAACTATACTGCAGTTTCTCATCCAAAGTAACTTCCACAGGTTTCCCAAATAAACCAAACTTCATAGTACTGTCAAACAATCATCTGCTGCCCACAGACCCCACAGTGAGCTGCAAGATCAGAACCACAGTCTTGCATCCATTAGCAGCTGGTGAGACAGAAGCCTAGAACACACCCAGGAATGAGGAGTCTCCTGTTCTTGTCCTGAATGCACTCCACTTGAAAGCTGAATTAAGAGTCAGTTCTCTGCCAGCTCTTGGCCATTTACTGATGGCAGTTCAAGATGTTTATACACAGCTTCTATATAAAACCAA